AGTTGTGTCACAGTTGTATTACAGTATGTATTTCAGTTGTATTACAGTATGTATCTTTGGGTACTAATCGGTTAGAAATGTTGAGATGTCCGTACTCAGTTTTTCTGTTTGAAACCTGCTTAACATATTGGAATGCAAAAAGGCATATGACATGTGAATATTTATATTAATTGAAATTTATTAAATATAACAAATAATGAGAAGACAATAGATAAATATCACTTGAAAAAAGGTAATACTTGTAAATTTGGGATTCCAATGGTCCATAATAGCCGCAGTTTGCCTTATCGTGTCAGTTTTGCTAATGCCTCATGGTCGTTACCTTCTCCATCTTTTCCATAGTTATAGCACATATATTTTTTTATTTATATTTTGTAGCCTCCAAATTCTTGGTATCTTCACCTATTTTTCACAACCACTTTGAAAAGAAAACGTTAAAAGGTCGAAAATCAACAAAGCGTAATAATTTCAACGTTCAATAGGTGAACAGTTTCAAGAGTAAGTATAAACAAAGACGAATTGATTTATTTCTATGCCGAACTGAATTTAGACGTAAAAATTGAGTTCGAAAGTCAGAAAAGATAAACTATTTGGTTCGGTTCCAAACTAAGTAAGGATGAAAGAAATGAGTTCGGAATTCAGAAAAGACAAACAAATTTGATTCGGTTCCGAACTGAGTATGGATGAAAGAACTGAGTTCGGAATTCAAAAAAGACAAACAAATATAATTCGGTTCCGAACTGAGTATGAAGGTAAAAACTGAGTTCGAAATTCAAAAAAGACAAACAAATTTTATTCGGTTGTGAACTAAGTTTGGACGACAAACTGAGTTCGAAAGCCAGAAATGCATCCATAATAAAGAGGAACGTCTAAAGCCCCCAATGACGGGATGAGAATTTAGAGTACATAAAAATAACCAAGCTAAACATGCATTGAAATATAATAGGTAAGCAAAAAGTAGGTAAAATGTTATTTAAAATGAGTAATGCTTGCAATTCTCTGAATGTCATTAGACAAACTCAGTTTGTAACAGTCCGTCCATATTTGTCCTCCTCAAATCGCACTTAGGCCATAGCTTTAGCTTGCACATCTTTGAATGTTGCACAAGGGTACTTGGTTCGTTCCTTGTAGAGCCCATCTTCTTCAAAAAGGCCTTGATGGAATGCTTCAATTGTAGTGGAGATGTCACACTTGTAGATCTTTACTTTCTCCTTGTTAAAGCGATTCAAATAACTCCAGAGTGTTTCACCACTTCGTTGTCTAATGTGGTATAGATCACTTGATTTTTTCTCGAGCGGGCCATAGTTGCAAATTCTACTCTGAACATGTTGATCATTTCTGCAAAAGATCTAATAGAATAGTTAGGTAAATTAATAAACCAAGTAAGTGTCGGACGTGATAATGTGGCTCCAAAGCTTTTGCACATGATCGCTTCTTGAATAATTTGTGGTACGAATCTAGTCATCATCTTTTTCTTGTAGAGTGCAACGTGTTCATCGGGATTTCTAGTACCATCATATGTTGGCATGTTTGGAATGACAAATCGCTTTGGAATTTCCACTAGCTCAATGGATTCGACAAAAGGAGAATCAGCATAACTATCATTGGCTTCTTCCTTCAATGGCTGAGGAACACTGGGGATCTTGTTGATCTTTTCCTCTACTCGTTTGACATGATAATCTACTATCTTTTTCAAATCTGACTCCTCCTTACTCAGAACGGACTATGATTCCCCTTTTTTATGAAACAAAGTGCGAGGCAGGGTACGATCTCAAGATCTGAAAATTTCTTCGTTTTCGCGTCTTGAATTGACATTTGCTGATGCCATTGAGTGAACTTGATTTCTCAAGGATTTATTCTCAAGAGTTAGTTGGGCTAATTTGGCTTTTGTTTGGCTTTTACCTTCTAACAATGTTTCTATTTGGCTTTTTTGCGAGTCTAGGGTTTTCCTCGAGGAATTCATTTCCTCATAGATGACGCCCATGGTAATCCATCCTTGGTTTCTAGACATGGATTTGATTTGGGTTTTGTGTTTAAAGGTTTTAGCAAGTTTTTTGACTACAAGCCCCACGGTGGGTGCCAAATTATTTTGGACAAATCTTAGAAAGGTTATAAGGGGTATTAATAATCAAATTTCTAGGAATTTGTTAAAGGTTTTAAGGGGTATTAATAATCAAATTTGCTAAAAGAAAATAAACACAATCTCCAAATAAACGAGTTAAGAGCAATAAAATAATAGAACTATAATAATAATTACAAATCAAAGAACAAAGATCAAAGTAAGAGACTCATTTCTGAGTAAGGACGACATAATATCAGAGATTTTAGTATAAAAGTGTAGTAAATTGTATTAGACAATGTATGAATGAATTTTATTACAAAGAGTATCCTATTTATAATGACTTGTAAATCTAATAAAGGTGATTATTGAAGAATCCTCGTTATTTTGATAATGTTGACAATATTGATTGACATCTTCATCTTTTAGGAAATGTTGACTTAGTTGATTGATATTTCCATGATTCGCTCCTTCAATCATGGGATGTAATTGTGCTTGTTGCCCAAGCATTCATCACGAGTCGTCAAATGGTCCGACCTTTGAAGGGAAGCTGTCTTTCTCATAAAGGATCAGAAAGGCGGTCGACTTACTTAGAAAGATGCAGTTAAGTCCTTACTGTTCATACTCAGTTGGGACCACTGTGCGAATATTATTTCATCAATCAAGTGATTTGTTTCCTGATTTAGCTTTACTTGATTGATTCCATGGTCTTGATTGATTTCATAAGATCTTTAATTGATTGTTGACTTCTTGATTGGACCAATCAAATCCTTGATTGATGAGCTATGATTCCATTGATATTTTTAACCATGCATATTTTCCTTTTTCAGTTTGTTTTCTTATTATGTATAAGTGAAGTAAAATATTATAGAATTGATCCTTTGATTGATCTTTTCCTAATTTGTAGGTTGCTAGAATCCGCTCCCAACAAATATATAGTGAATTTTCTATATAAAAAAGGAAATTTTGACTTTTGGTACCACAAAAAGTCCTGTTATTGAATTTTGCTACCGCTAAATTTTTTTTTTTTATTTTACTACCACTAAAAATCATGTTTTTTTAAAACTGATACCAGTTGACGGAAACTGTTAGATTAGCCGTTTGTAGGGCCCACTGCAACGGCTCTTTTTGTCTGTTTATTGTGTATTAGTACTTACTTTGAAGATCCCAACTTCTTTAAAGCTCATGTGAGAGGCGAAATTTGTTGGAATCGTAATCATATCACAGTAATTGGGAAGAATTTTCAGGTGCGAAGGTGAATTTTCTAGAGCATATCTGGGCTAAGGTGAGCACAGTTCAAAGAAATTTTTGATTTATTTTTTGCGAAACCAATTGGAAAATGAAATTGCAAATTTGTTACGAATTGTTGTTGGTTAATTGTAATTGCGATTGTTTAGGAATGATGTAGAACCTGAATAGGATTTAGTAATGGTGTAATTGGTAGTTAATACCAGTAATTCGATTTAGGGTTCTTACCCGAATTGAAATTAGGGGTTTTGATTTGTGATACTGTAGGGAGTAATTGAAGGTGATGTTTGTTTAATAATGAATGTGTGATTATAGTTGTTGCTTAATTTGGTTGAATTGCAGGGTATAATGTCGTTGATGAGGTTTTCTCCCTCCAAACAAAGGAAGTGTGACTGTGGGATACCTATGGCTAAGCTGACATCATGGACAAGAGAGAATCCTGGAAGGAAGTTCAAAGCCTGCAAATTCTATGATCCTAAAACAGAAAGTAGGGGTTGCAAGTGCTTTGAGTGGGTGGATGAGGAAGATGGCACAGACTGGCAAACGGATGTCATTAATCAACTTTTACTTGACAAGAAATTGATGAAGGGGGAAATAAACTCACTGTAGAGAGAAGTTGAAGATTTAAGTGGCCAAAGAAGGTGTTTTCTAAGTGAGAATGACAACTTGCTAGTGAAGTGCAAAGCTTTAAGTTCTGAGAGGAAGAAATTCAGCAAGGAAAGCCAATACAAATATGGTGGTGGCTGCACCACCGTCCTAGCAATGACCATATGTTGTTTATTTCTGATTATAATTGTGTTACTTGTATTGAAATGAGATTCAACTTGGTTAGAGTTACTGGTTGTGTATTTAGATAATGTTGGTGTAAGACAACAACTTCCAAATGTAAGACTTTGAATTGTTTATGAATGATATTTAGTTAATGTTGGTGTATTTAGTTATTGTTGGTGTATTTATGTGAATGATATTTGCAACAAATAAATGTGACAATCAAATAGTCTGCCATAGCAATTTCAGCACTAAAGTGCTTGGCAACCATCACAGTTATATTCCACAGAACTAGTTATAGACAAATACTAGCAAAACTAAGTTGTCTTAAAAACCACAAAATGAAAGTTGCAGGGTACAATATCCAATAAGCTAAAAGTCTAGGGACTAAAAACTACACTCTAATTCTTCTTCATTTCCCCTTTTCCTTGCTTTCTTGTTGGCTGTTTTGCTGTTGTTCTCTTTTTTGCTGCAGTTGTTGTTGTTGATGCCTGGGATGCTTGGGTGCAGGGTGCAGGTTGTTGTTGTTGTTGTTGGGATGGCCTCTGTTGAGGGAATTTTTGGTTTGCTATGCTGAATGTCCCAAGAGTTCCACCAGTCTGTAAAAAAAAAAAAAAGTTCTTAGTTTATCCATAAAAGCAGTAGACATGTAGTGTGTTAGGCTTGATAATGTACACACCTTCATTGCAGCCCTTACCTCCTTCTTTCTTCTTTGTTCCTTGTTCCAAGCATTTTGCAAAACTGGTTTGCATGCTATGTTGGCATCTGGTGGAGGTGCAGGAGCTTGCAATGGTGGATTGCCACAAGTCTTGGCATAATGACCAAGTTGTCCACAGTTTGCACACCTATTTTGCCTCTTTTGTTGTTTTTGCTATCTGCCACTGCTTTCAGATGCTCCCTCTCCTCTCTCAAGCTTTCTTTTTTTTTACTTAGGCCTACCAGGCATAACCCTTACTGGTGGAGGCAGGGGCTGTCTTAGATGATGCTGCTTCTCCCAATGCTTGGGTCCAAGCATAGGCTTCACAGGTTCCTCATATGCATACAAATATTTCTGCCTTGTGTAATACCCATCCACATAGTCTTCTGGGTCCACCCTCTTGTCCAAAATGCATGCATATCCATACACACATGGAATACCAGTCAACTGCCAATGGTAACATGTGCAAGTCATGTTACCTAAGTCAACCAGAACTGTATCACCATTGAGCTCAACCTCATAGGAGTTTCCCCTTGAAATCTGCACTATACAGTGCCTTGTAGCCCTCTCAATCCTCTCAAACAGATTAGTCACATATGGTATGAGCTTCCCATCCATCTTATTAGCTGCCACCCATTTCTCATTGTGCCTCTTCATCATATACCTTCTCATCCACTCCATTTGAGTGAGTATTGGCTTATCCCTTGCATCTCTTATAACAGCATTGAATGTCTCACAGACATTATTCAACAACATATTTGATTTGCAATCACTAGAAAAAGCATGCCTAGACCAATGCTTAGCAGGAATTTTATCTAGATACACATATGCATCTTCAGACAGGAAATGTATGGATTCCATTGCCACCTCAAAGTCAGCCTACCACATCATTCCAAAACCATCACAACAATTATTAATGTATCCTAGTTCAGCAAAATTATAGCATCAAAAATATGGATGCATTATTCAAGGCAGCAAAATGTACCATCATGATTCATAGCATCAAAATATATCAAAAATGTAGCTAGAAATTTTGCAACCTACTAAACACCTATGTTTAAACTGATGTGCATGTCCTACTTAATATTGAATTAGTAACTCACCACTGTTGTAGCCCTAGCAGCATTCCAGAAGAGCTCTTTGAAGGTTGATCCACTGAATTGAAGCTTGAAATTGGCCCATATATGCCTCACACAGAACCTCTTCTCAGCAAATGGGACTTGCAATTCCAAGGCTTCAAGTAGACCCTGCCACATTATAAATCAACAGTTAAGTTCATAACAGCTCATATCATATTAGGTACTAATAATACTGTAATTAGGTACATGAAGGCTAACCTTTTGTTTGTCAGACATGAATGTCCAACCACCACCTTCACACACATCACCAAGGTCCTTTTTTAAACAGCCTAGGAACCAGCACCATGATTCCTTATTCTCAACTTCAACAGTAGCCCAGGCCACTGGATAAATGTTATTGTTTCCATCTTTTCCAACTGCCACAAGAATTTGCCCTGGGTAGGCTCCCTTCAGGTGACACCCATCAAGGCCTATTAGAGGCCTGCATCCCTTTATGAAACCACTTCTTAGTGGTTGCAGACAAATGTACATCCTCATAAGCAATGGGAGTTCTGGTCTGCTTTCATCAACATCTACAACTATGGCCACCCCAGACCCAGGGCTGTACTTAATTACAGCTTTGCCATAATCCCAAACTCTGGCATATTGCTCACAAGCTGACCCATAAATCATCAGCTTTGCCCTAGCTCTAGCCAGCCATGCTTTTGAGTACTTAACTACTATGCCTAAGTCACTAAGCACCCTAGCTCTGAAACTTTTTAGATCCCAACTTGGGTTGCGCCTCCATTCTTCAACATACCTCTCAGCAAGAAACTCAGCATTCACCATTGAATTCATTTTACTTCTCATACACACATGCTTAGGCCTAAAGTCTATGATTTGCCAAGCATCACTGTTGACCACCCTTCTTGCAGAAACCTTAAACCTGCACTTCTTCACCCTAGCACTACAATTGCACTCCCCAGTCACTTTGCATCTCTTGAAATTCCACTTACACTTGCACATTCTCTTACAAAATGTGGTAATCCTTTTACCACCATTGTGCAGATAGTAATACTCATATTTGTTCTCTATTGCATGTATCCTCAAGGCTTTTCTTAGAATTGTGCTGTTGGAGAACCTCAACTTCTTCACTAGCACAATTGGGTTCTTGAAATCAGTCTTTTCATGAAACCAGGGAATGTCCTCTTCTTCCTCATCTGACCCCTGTAAACTCCTTAGCTCATCTGACTCAGAACCTTCATCATCAACATCAACTTCCTCCCATCCAATGTCCTTACTCAACTGTTTCATAACCTCCTCCTCCCTGTCCACACCTACACCCTGTGAACTTTGACCACTGCATTTCACAACTTGCAAGCCATTTTCTACTGCAGATAAGATTTCATCCTTAGTTTGCCTATCCCAATCAGCATCATCACTTAGGGCCTCTTCCTCCCCAGGCTCCCAATCAATTTCTAGATCACTTGCATTTGAGCTTGATAACCCAGAACCTGATTCATCTTCTTCCCCCAATTTAAGAGCCCTCCTTGCTTTATTTTTCACACTAGCCTGCCCTGTACCCTTTTGCAGCCTCACAACCCCATCACCATCTTTTTCTACAACCTTACCCTTCCCCTTATCAATAGATCTACAAAACCTAGGGCTTCTCCTCAATCTGCTCACACAAAGCTCTATTTTAGGTTGTTTAGAAAGTATAGGGCTCCTTCTTAAGACAAGGTCATTAGCTTCTTCTGCTTTTTTCTAGGTTTTAGGTGGAACTGAGCTTTGTTGTGTTTGGGATGGTTGTGTTTGGGTTGGGTTGGATACAGTAGCAGTTTGGGTAGACAAATGGGTTTCAAGTGGGGTTGGCTCTTGTTGGGTTGGCTCCTGTTCGGTTGGCTCTTGTTGGGTTGGATTGGATCCAGTAACAGTCTGGCCAGACACATGTCCAGTCCAGTTGGATGCAGTGTCATTCAAGTTGGACTGTTCTGGGATTGAGGTGGGGTTATTATATTCAGCCACAATGCTTTTGGGGTCCTGATTGGGCCTAGGGTCATCAGAAACAGTACAAAACAACTCTAGATACCCATCCCTGTGCTTGGCATCTAATAAACCTTGTACATCCTCATCACTTTCTATCTTCCTTTTTCCAGTCATCCAAGACTTACCCTTCTCTTTGAACCACACAGCATATAGGGTAGGTACATCCCACCCCATGTCCCTAATCCCTTCAATACATAAATACCTTAAGTATCCTACTGAAAAGTAATTGAGAGGCACATTCCTTTTCCAATAAGTGAACCCAGCTTCATACACTTGGTACTGCCCTCCTCCCCTACGGTTCTTAATCACAAAACCCCCATATATTCTTAGCTTAATGTCAACCTCATTATCAATAACAACCATTGGTATTTATCTACAATTAAATAGCAATAAACAAATAAATCAAGGATTCAATAAAATCAAACACTATTTTATTCTTAACTGTAACTAAATCAATGCATTAACAAAAAAGGCATCTCAATATACCCCCATACCCTACCACATGACTGCAAGAATCAATTTTTAATTAGTCAAACAACTCTTTAAAAAATTACAACTCAGTAACCTAGGTTTAACTGCAAATTCTCCCAAAAATACCCCAACTACAATGCATTATTGCGAAATTACCACCACTGTTGGACCACTATAAATAAACAAGGTTTCGTACCTTCAAACAGGTGGTTGTCAGGAGAATGTTCAGCTTTCCACAATGGAGATGACGCTTCAATTTCCAGATAGTGTTCGACCTTCCACGCGCTTCAATTTGCAAAATTTACAGTACACCTCCAAAGAGATAGAGATGGTGACAGTGGAGAGAGAATTGAAGGGGAACACAAATTAAATTATGCCTTCAATGGAGTACAATGTGGGTGGGGGTTAGCGTATTCAATGGAGGAAAAAGGGAGGGGAAGCAACAATAATCAAGAAACAAAACGGTAGTTAATTGCGTGGGCCCCACAAACGGCTAATCTAATAGTTTCCGTCAACTGGTATCAGTTTTAAAAAAACCTGATTTTTAGTGGTAGTAAAATTAAAAAAAAATTTAGCGGTAGCAAAATTCAATAACAGGACTTTTTGTGGTACCAAAAGTCAAAATTTTCTAAAAAAAAATATAATGAAGATATTGGCAATTGATAGTCTTTTTTTTTTTATTAATTTTTTTTTATTTTTCTCTTCTTCTTTTTTTTTGTCTCTAAAAATGCAGCTCAAAGCTCTTTATCTAGTTATTTAAATTTTACACTAAAAATTTATGGTTGTGAATTACTACCTCAAAAAGGGGGCCTTTGTGAATTACTACCACTAAAAAAAAAGTTGTTGATTACTACCCCTAAAACTGATTAATTCTAGCAACTAATACATTTTTCCCTAATCAACCTACTTAATTTCTTAATGACATCGTTATTTGTTTAAATTATAATTAATAGATTTTAAAACTTAATTAATTAGTTAAACCCTTCCACCACCTACCCACCACCTCCGGCAACCCCCCTTTACCACCTCCGGCAGCTCCCCCCACCACGAAATCCACCCTCATCTAGGTCATCCACCACAAAACTCACCCCCACTCGTTCCCCCACCGCAAAACCCAACGCAATTACTGCCCTCTCCTTTTCCAAACCCTTAAAACCCATCCGCACCCCTTTCCCCAACCCCGATTATCGCCCCTCCCCATCCCCCAGCCCCTGCAAACATCCCAGTCAAGTGATGGGATTGTGTTTCATTGTGGGGAAGGGGAGGGGGATGGGTTTCGTGGTAGGGGAAGGGGAGGAGGTGGGAATTGCGTCGGGGAAGCGGAAGGGAGGTGGGAATCGTGGTGGGGGAACAGGAGGGGGTGGATTTTGTGGTAGGGGAACGAGAGGGGTTGGTTTCTTGGTGGGGGATCGACCGCAGGGAGTGGGTTTCACGGTGGGGGAGTTGTCGAAGGTGGAGGGGGGCTGTCGGAGGGTGTGCAATGGTGGTTGGGAGGTGGTGCAAGGGTTTATCTAATTAATTAAGATTTAAAAGCTACTAATTACAATTTAGATGAATAATGATGTCATTAAGAGTTTAAGTAGCCTGATTAAGGAAAAAAGTATTAGTTACTAGAATTAATCAGTTTTAAGGGTAGTAATTAACAACTTTTTTTTTAGAGGTAGTAATTCACAAAGGCCCCATTTTTGAGGTAGTAATTTAAAAATGTTCCTAATAAGTTTATGTGTATTGTGTAGAGCAAATTCGAGTTTTGAGCTACTCAAGGGGTACATATGTAATCTAGCTTAACCAAATATTGAAGGATATGTATGTAGTTCGCTCTGTACTTGAGTTGACCTTTTGAAAATCTAGTTAATTGGCATTACTTACGTCATCAACCTTCCTTCTTCCTCCTTCTCCTTGCTCATTCCTCCTCCATTGAAGCTGACATTGAAGGCGACACCATTGAATATTGCACTAACTTTGAAGATGACACCATTATCGGCGGTGCCGCCGCCAATATAAACAAAAAAACCCTAGAAAAAGGGTACAATTAAGGGTATGGTCAATACCAAAGGGTAAATGTATGTGACCACCAAGTCCTTCATTGAAGCTGAAATAAGCTTAAAGCTTGATTTTTTCCATTACAAGTTTATTAATTTTCTCCTTTACAACTTTCTAAATTTCTCTCTATTATACATACACCAAATTAGATGCTTCAACGTCGAAGATCAGAGCTCTTAGATCGTCGACCCAATGTTCTCCCTTCAAAATCTCTCTCTCATAATCTCTCTCATTTGTAGAGATTTTGTCAAAAAGATATAATGTTGTTAATTTAATGCCGTTGATCATCTACAACACTGGCATGGTTAAGCTTTTAGCCAAGGTTTATTCCAAGTGGAGATGTAACAATATTTATTGCCAATACGCTTCTCAAGACAAGTTATTTACATAAGAGAAAATACAAGTTAATATCCTATATAAACAAAAGTTGTTAATATAGGGGTATAAAAGTCATTTTCGTTAATTATTTATCAACAAGACTGTAAATTTAGCAACATTAGATCTTCAAGCCTTCAACCATGGAGATCTGTTTTAACAATGGAGTTCAATGCCCGCTTCTTCACCACCACTACAATCGCCGCTTATCACAATGAATCACTGAAAGAATCATGATATGAGCAATTTTATAGTTAAATGGTCTTTACCTTCTTTAATTTTTTTCAAACCCCACCGAATCGAAGCTTTCTTCAAGCATCTAATAGATGCTCCATTGTTAAAGCCCAGGTATCCTCAATAATACCTACCATTTTGGATTTTCTTAATTTGTGTTTTTTTTCTTAGGGTTTTCTTTAAATTTGACGGCGAAGCCGCCGTCGAGCGTTGTGTCGGCGTTCATGGAAGAAGGGGTTCTTGGTGGTATTGATGGAGGAAAAAGAAGCAAGTGTATTGTGCCATATTTTTTGAAGAAATTTGTCTACTTGCGTGAGTTTAAAGGAAGAAGATGAAAGATATATGTTTTTTTTTTATTGTTGATATTAACATAGTTTGTTAAAATAGGATATTAACTAGGTCTGACTCTTTACATAACTGTCATTTGATTAACATGACCATTTTCTCACTGTGAGAATAAACTTGTATATTCTGCTATACCATCATGCTCAACAATCTCAAAGAAGTTATTAAAAAAAATTTATAATTATTAGTCATATTTCTAGAGTAAAGCTAAAATACGTTCCCTAAACTTTGCCAAAAGTTTGGATTTGGTCCCTAAACTTTCAAGTGGCTGAATTTAGTCCCTCAACCACCACTTTGGTGGGTAGTAAAGTGACTCATCAAAGTTTGGGGACTTGAGTGGCTGACTAAACCATAGTTTAGGGACTTTAAGTGATGACTGAACCAAAGTTTAGGGACTTTAGATGATGACTTGACCAAAATTTAAGGACTTTAGGTGATGACTGGACCAAAGTTTGGGGATCTTGCCAAATTTTAATGGATCCCATGATGAGTAGACGACCAATGTTGATATTAAAATTAGGCTAAGACATTTTAAGTTGGACAAATAGTTTAAATCAATTTGCAAGAAATTAATTGAGATTTTTTTTAAAAAATCATATCAAATTCAATTTATATATATATATATATATATATATATATATATATATGTAAAAATAATTAAAATTTATTTTCTTACTTTTTAAAAGGGAAATTTTCTTTAATAACACCCAATTTTTATTTTTCTTGGTGAACTAATAAAATTTTTTATTATCTTTGGTAATCATGAATGATTATAATAAGTTACCTATAACGTTAATGATAATTTTTTTTATTAAATGTTTGACTATAATTAAGTTTTTTTCAAGAATTAAATAATTTAAATAAATAATTTTTTATTTTTTTTAAAAAAACCCACCCCCATTCACTGCCAGCCCCTCCTCGTTAACCCTAACACACGCTTCCCCGCCAGCAACCCATACCCCAACACCCCCAGCCACACCACCCCTCCCTTTCCCTTGAATCAAACCCTTTCCCCTTCCCTTTCCCCTACCCAAAATGCGCCCCCAATCCTAAAACCCCCACCCGAAATCACCCAAACCCTTACAAGGTTGCTTTCTCGTGGGGTTTTCGGTGGGGGTTTTGAGATTTGGGGGCATAACTTGGGATGGGGGAAAGGGAGGGGGTCGATTATGGGAAAGGGGAGGGGTGGTGGGACTGGGGATGTCGGGTGGGGGTCGCTAGGTCTGGCGTCAACGTGGAAGGTAGGCCGGACGCTAACGTGGGTCGGAGGCAGGTAGTGTAGTGGGAGGGGGTGGTTTTTTTTTCTGTAAAAAATTATTCATATATTTAAGTTTTTAAAATTAAAGGTTAAATTTTAAAAATACAATAATTCATTTAATAAAATAATGGTTTTATTGTCACCTATGCCTATAGGTCCCTAAACTTTGCTTGGTAATTATATTTAATGCCACTTATGTCTAGAGGTCCTTAAACTTTCACATTAATTTAAAATCTATTTCACCTCACCAGTGCAATGTCCCTAAACTTTGGTGAAATCCCTGAACTTTGATGAGTCACTAAAGTAACCACCTAAAGTGGTGGTAGAGGGACCAATTTTAGCCACTTCAAAGTTGAGGTACTAAATCCAATTTATACCAAAGTTTAGGGACTGTATGTATAGTTTACTCCATATTTCCACATCAATCTTTGAGAATCTTTGAGGGTCTTTTGTAGACCCTATCTCCAACCCTTTAAAAACAAGCATTTGTGTTACTATTCAAAGGAATAGTGCAATCCCAAAAATAATCTCTGTTGTATTTTTTTACAAAATTACCGATGGAATCTCATACCCACCCATTCCCTTAATATTTACAATTCATTCCAACAATAAAACCAACGACTTTGGACTAATATGGGTTTTAGAATCCATACCACTTAGTATGAGATTATGTACCAATCCATTTCAAGTTGATGAGCCATCTTTAATATACTCTCTCCTCTGTTTCATTCCATTGTCTTTCATTTCAATTTTCGGACAGAGATGAACTTTCCATTGAAGCGGCTTCAGAGCTTACTCCTCCATTGAATTGAAGCAAATTCTCAGGTCAGATTTTGTCCTTTCATATGTACATCGTGTTTCAGTTTGGAGGTTAGATTTTTTATTTCACCCATTTTTTTTTTTATAGATTAAACAAAGAATATTCCTCAATCGCCTCAAACTCGACGACAACCTCATTAAGGTAAATTTTGGATGCGCTGAAAATCGGAAGGGTGGATCGAAAAAGCTTCGGAGAATCTTAGTCTTCTGTTCACTCTATTAAGGTAAATTTTTATTGCTTTTTTTTTTTTTTTTTCTGTAATTTTGGTTATAATGTCGGATTAATTGGGTTTGTGGGATGAATTGGGTTATTTTTCTTGGCTTAAAAAAAGAGATATTTGGGATCGATAAAATACTACTCTTATTGAAATCAATTATAAACTCAGATATTCATATTATACCGCTTGAATTAGATTACCCATAATAAATTGAGGAAATTTACTGCTAGAGATCTATACATCGTCATATTAGAGCAAGGTCAGTCAATTAGATTCCAGGATTCCAGGCCTGTGAACTTTAGCAGATATTTGTTGATTGTTTGCTCAAATTGTGAATAATTTTAAGACATTTAATGTGTTATTTTTTTATCGCTGATTTTCATAAGTTTATAGTTGAGTATGAGAATGAGCAAATCATGTTCATTTTAATACATTTGATTATTGCGACTTTTTGGGCATGTTGTTTTCTTTGATTTTTCAACAATTTTAGCTCGTAAAGTTGCTAATTAGGATGATTAAATTGTTGATTACCCAGATTATTGCACAATTGCCATTTAAAAGTATGCACGCCCAGATTATTGCCTAGAAGTCTTCCTTAATGCTTAGTTATTTAATTATTTGTAGGGAGATACAGTGGTAGAGGTAGGTTTATTATTTATCAAGTTGACAAAATTTGAGGAGGTAGCAATTCTTGATACTAGGAAACTAGGTGCTGAAATGAAAAACAAAGCACCTACTGTCAAGGCAACTTTATGTATAGTGAGTTAAATGCTAAAGCAGTGGAGAATATGGTACTTCTTATTCTGCCTTTTGATCAATGCGTACAGGATTACTGCAGTTTCTATATTTCTAGAGGTTGCTTGACAATCAATATGGTACCCTCTTTGTAAAACCTTAACAACAAAGTGTGGATAGAAAGAATTGGGCTAAGAATGGGGGAGGGGTTAAAGTTGGATAAGGCTTGCTCTAATTTTTAAAGCCATGAAACCAAAAAAAAAAAAAAAAAAAAAAGGGGAAAGATGATTGAGAACAAGGTTCAATGTTTTTATTTAAAAGTAGTGAGATTTTTTATGATAAGATGGACTTTCAAATGGTTTAATGTGGTTGCATCAACAATTCTACTAGCTATATACGAAACGAATCCCCTTTCTAATCATCTGTCTAATTGCATGATATTTCAAGCCATAAGTTTATTTGTTTTTGGCTCATGCTTAATTATTAAATCTTGGTTTTGTTTGGAGGTGATTCTTTTTGCATTCTGTATTATTTGTATCTAGACCTTTTAGACCCTTCTTGCGATTGTTATGTACAGCAAGTAAAATGCCTTACTAAGATGCAATATAGGAGTTTGTTGTTTGAGACTTTTAGTTATGGTGGTGTTGGGATTGTGAAAGTACTTTGGAATGAACTTTGGGAAGCTTTTGCAAATGATATTGCATTTGGAATTTATAATTGAGAATTAGATTCAGCATTCTGTAGAATGTTTGCATTAATATTGAACAGGTGTATGTGTTGTGATACTTTAGAAAAGAATTTTCCAGTTTCCATTTTAACAAAATTTTACACTATCCTCATCTGGAAGATTTTGGTTTATAGCTTGCTTTGATATTGAAATATTAGTGAGGTGATACAATATGAAGATCTATACATCAAAATTTCAACATTTTCTTATGATGCTATAGCATGCCCAGAGTGTTATAAACAGTTTCTAGGTTTTCTTTGGCATGACTGAACTAATATCTTTGCATGGTTTGTTGATTTAATCTTGTGACTGAGGTTCTTTGTTGCTTTGCTGTTATGAAGAGGAATCATAATTGTGAAGTTACGTAAAGGTCAAGGGTTGAAGCTTAGAGCAATAGCTAGAAAAGGTATTGGAAAAGATCATGCCAAATGATCTCCTGTGGCTATAAACCTTAATGTATGAGCCAGAGATTCTTATCAATGAGGATATGATGGAATCCTTGTCACTTGAACAAAAGAAAGAGTGGGTTGAAAGCAGTCCTACTAAAGTCTTTTGACATTGATCCTAATACTCAACAGGTTGGTATCTCATTACATTTACTGGTTTAATTGTATCACTTTGCTTGCGTTGAGATTATGTGATAAGTTGTGTCTTACTTTTAAGGAAGGTTTTGTTGATAAGCTATTTTCAGATCATAAATAGAATTTTACTGTAGTGAAAAATACGATTTAAGGAATCTATATGGGGTTGGATTGGGTTATTTCTGAGAGACCTGTTTTGTCATATGTTGATGAGAATGAAATGCCCTCTTGACCTCCTTGTGAAATGGAGCATTATTAGATGGAAAAGAATTCCAATTTGATGTGTTACAACATGCTTATTACTAGGCCTCTTGTGCAAAGCATGGTTAGTGATAGTGTAGACATCTACTTTTGGTCTCCTGTCCCGACCGGAAGAGATATGACGATAAATATTTCCATCTTTGTGCTACATTGTAATAAGGAATGCTTATGGACTATTGATTAAGGCCTAAACACATAAAACCAACTACCTTGACCCAAACGAAATAAACCAAAACTTGTTAATACTTAGCCCGATCAGAAATTAGGCCAAATCCCAAGATTAAACCTAATTTTGACAAATTTAGAAGCGCCTACGTTAAAATCTAGTGCCGCAGAAAAACCGCGCGCAACTCAAGGACCTGGCGTACGTAACTCACAAAGTTGCTCGTGACACTTAGCGCAACCTCCAAAGATCCGCTTGCGGAAGATTCAGAATTTCATTAATATACTGAATCGAATCTTACCATAAAGCCACGCGCAAGACCAGAGGTTGCGCTGCCTTGTGTAGCGCAAATAAATCACTTGCGCGCAGCAGCCGCGCTCAACCTGGTTGTCCGAAACCCTAAACTCACCCATTAATTGTTTTGTTCTTACGGTAAAAAGTCAGTAGTAACTTTGTGAACTTATGCAATAGTCGTCCCTCTTGTCCTAAACACACACCCTTAAATTGTTTTGTTCTTACGGTGGAGGTTCCCGAACAAGGAGTCCATAAGTGTTCTAAACGAAGATCTAGCAAGGAAAAATGGTAAATTTCGGTGCACTTGGATAAATCACCTTTCTTTTCTTGCTTAAACAACCTTTAATTAATTAATTAGTGTTGATTGATCACCTTAAATAAACTTTGATTATTAATTCCACATAGTATTCTTGCGTTAATCAAGACTAGAATTTGAATAATTAATTGATTGATTGTTTTATCACCTAAGCCAAGGCGAATATTGTTTATTTCTTGTTCCTTTTACGAATTTAAATAACAAAAAATAATGACATTCATTGTAATGTAATCTTTATGTGATCAACACTTGTAAATAAAATCAACTAACTTAGTTTTAGGTATCACGTTACAGATATTGTTTGGTAATGAAATTGTTAAAAAGGAAGAGCTAGTAGAGGCTACACTTAGGCTAGAATAGCGATTCCTCCCTAAAAGGAACGTTATTTTAGCATATACCCTCGCTCCTGAACTCATTTCTGGTACAAGTAGACCAATTTGGGCATGGGTAAACTTATGATTCATGCTAAATATACCTTGAACCCTACTTGAGAGAAAGGCATAAACGAGGTTTATGAGTTTTCCTAAAACTCATTAGCGACTCTTAGCTAGTTTCTTACAAGAAAGCGTAATGATAGAATCAATTCTAATTCAAGGTCCCCCAGACAGTCAGGAATTCAAATCCTAACACTCCTTCAAAAAGTGTAAAGCCCTAGGCTTTAAAGGGCCATGGGCATAGAGGAAGAGGATCCCTTACGATGGGCACACCCTCCTCACAGTGGCGACTCCAGTGGGGAATCAGAGGTTACAAGATTAGTCATTAGTTATGGTTCAAGGTTTCCAACTTAGGTTACCTATGAGTTATAACGAGGGCTAACTTGGATAATCTCTAGTTATAAAGTGAGGCTTGAACGCGTAATATCTTCCTTTTTCACAAAAGTAAAAGTCAAACAAGCAACATTGCATCATGCATAATCATAAGCACCTTCTAAACATTAGGGATCGGCTCATTGACTAGGGGTCACCAGCACCAGGCTTTTATCCCAAAATCAATAACAATCATCCCACCCATATCGCCAACAAAATGTTGGGAGAACTATGTCATGGGTCAATACCTTGAGTGATTGATTCGTGCATCGTTTCTTAAGATATGGTACCTTTGGACAACCAAAGCCTTGACTTTAGAATGGCATTATATGCTTTAATGGTTTTCTCGTATGCTTATGTGATTACATGACTATTTGCGACGTGTATAGGATAGTTTGTTTTCCTCCTTTTAGTCTTAACTTAGTTTCCCAACTACTAAGTTGTCCCTTCGTAGTTTTGAGTCACGTGCAAGGGATACCATATGATTAAAAAAAAATGTTTAAAAAAAAAAGAATAATAAAGAAAATACCATCGTTCGAAAAAAAAATCCTGCTCGAACAGGTGACGACGCAACTCACGCGACCACACCCAACGCAAGTGCGGGGCTGCGCGCGTCGCGCAACCCAGTAACTTACGCGCGCCTGCTGATTCTTCGTAAATATTGGCTCGTCCAAACAATATCGTTATTCATGAGTTGTTGAAAGGCGATGATATCTCTATGAACGTAAATTGCTTCTTTTTCTTCCTTTCTCTTTCTTTTCTTTTCAAAAGCAAGCGTGTCAGTTTTCTCAACTTCCCGTACTTCCTTTAGGGCTGGTTACCAAGCTTGGGAATGAAGACACCCGGGCACTCGCATTCTATGTTTACCATCAAACAATCCACCCCTTTCGAACCATCTCCCTTTGTCAACTCATCCTAGTCCAACAATGTCAACTATCAAATAACTCCAAGAAGAGATTATTCGCATGAGAGAGGAAAAGGCTAAGAAGCCGAGGTTAGAAGGATTAAGAAATTTGAAAAGGCCGAAAAGAAAGAGGTTGAGGCTTTAGCTATAAAACAAAAAATGGATGCTTTAGCTGAAATGAGAAAAAACGTTAGAGAAACTTATTCTTCATTCTACAATGGGGAATAAGTACTTTGACGCAGAAAAGTTTGCTCCTCATGTGGTACTTACTCTACCTGAATAGTTTGTAGCCACAAACTTAAATCCAAAAAATCATCTAATGAGTTTTACTGGTACCATGGCTCTAAAGGAAGTTGATCCTAAGCTCTATGCTTTGACATTCCCTTTATCTCTAGACCCGGCCGCAAGAGAATGGTACTATGGGCTAGATGCCAACTTCAAAAGTATATGGGAAGATGTAGTTTCGGCTTTCATCACTTAATATGAGAGTAATGTAGAGTTCAAATCAACTTTGCGTGAACTTGAAATGCTTAAGCAAGGCGATGATGAAGGTTTCCTTGCTTTCTGTGGTAGATGGCGTGAAAAGGCAGCCCACCTTGCCCAAAGGCCGCCTTAACTTGAGTTAGTACAAAACTTAATTGACAATTGTCATGAAAAGTACAACAAACATCTACGCTACCTTGGTCTATACACTTTTCAAAAGGTCTATTCCGTGGCCACTAGGATTGAAGATGATCTCGCCTAAGAAAAGGCAAACAAGCCTCATTATCATCAACCTAAGAACAACTACAAGAAGGGGAATGATAACACTTCATTTTCTATTGATGTTTTTGCAACGTCCACACAATATAATAATAACGATCCTCAAAAAAGGTGGACGAGAGAAAGAAGATTTACACTAATCCCTTTAACTTATAAAGAACTATTACAAAAATTAAATGAAAAGGGTTTGCTCTCACCAAAGGCCAACACCGCCTCCCCCCATAGAAAGAAGGAATCCTCAATGGGATGGCAATGCTTACTGTACTTATCAAAGGGGTGTTGGGCATGATACTGAACGTTGCCTTGTTTTGAAACACAAGGTTCAAGATCTAGTAGACGATGGGAAAATTCCTACGCCTAAGCCTAATAATAATGTTTCCCATTGGAAATATTTCACATCGATGAGGACCATGTGAGGAGTGATGAGTTCAATCCCTTGGATTACATCACTCCCATAGGGAAACCTCTAACCACGACACTCATAGGGGCAACTAATGAAGTGTGTGGATTATGGGACGACGATTTTTTTAAAAACCTATATGTCTCAAAATTTGCCGCCGTCCCACCTCCACCTCGTCTTCAAGTTGAAACAAGTGGAGCGCTTGATTGGGATCAATTTTTGGGAAAATCACAAGAGTTGTTGAACCTTTCCCTAGATGAACACCGGCATCAAGCACATGGAACATTTGGAATTAGAGGCACATTCAACGCCTCTAGAAGAAAATTAGTTCACGAGTACCAAGACTAATCCAAACGAGATTGATCATCTAACTCGTTCTGGGCGAGTCTATCAAACACAACCAAGTGGATCTTCGACCCACCAAGGTCAAACTCAAAATCCAATACCACCTCCACCTGAGGTAGAGATCCGTTGGTCAAACAACTTCGCCAATCTAAGGCGAATGTTAACATTTGGGAACTCCTAAGTACCTCTAAGGAACATAAGAATTCTCTAACGAATGCTCTAACTGCTTTATCCGTAAGTACGAACAAAATTCCCGAGGATCTCGTTAGCTTGCTTATTAGCGAAAAATCCGACAAATCAATCATCTTTACTAGTGATGATTTGCCATCAAAGACACCACCCACAATAATGCATTATATTTAACTGTGGGGTGCAAGGGATACAACATCCCTCTTGCTTTAGTTGACAATGGGTCCGCCGTTAATGTGTGCCCATTACGAACCGCAAAATATCTTGGCCTAGACCCAGAAAAAGATTTTCATGCAACAACACAAAGCATTAGGGCCTATAATAATTCAAGGAGATCGGTGTGTGGAACTGTTAAGCTACCAAACTACAGACCCAATACAAAAGATGGTTGAATTCCATGTCATGGACATAAAACCTACATTCAACCTTCTTCTTAGACGTCCTTGGATACATGAACTTGGAGCAATACCATCTTCGCTCCATCAAATGATTAGGTTGAACTATCAAGGTCTTCCTCTGACTATACATGCTTCTCCTCTCAAAGTCGCAATAAACGA